ATAAAATTTTTTCAAAAAAAATCTGAATCGGCCATTTTGTTCAGAATTCGACGCTGATTCCAAATATGTGACTTTCAATCGGAAATTTTTTGAAACGAAAAACCGACTTATCGATACTACTCCTTTATAAAACTTGCATATTAACTAAATTAGGTTATGCATGTGCTTTATTTGACAATAACTTCGCTAATTTGGAGAGTATTAAGAGTACGCCTATTGAGTACGCCTATTGAGAGTATTAACAGAAGAACTTATTCAACATAAGCACTAACGAGGGAACATATTTGACAGACCCCCGTAGAAAATAGATGAGACCTAGCCTATCTTGTAGAGAATTTTACGCTGATCATGAAACGTATAGTTTAACTGTCCTCGTTATGGTCTCGATGCGAGAGAGAACATGATTTAGTTTGCCTAAGGTACCGGTAATTCAAAATTACAGCAAGAATTGTTTTCCGCTTTTTTTGGCATGATTGGATAGAGCTCATGGAGTTGCATCGGAAAAATACAATCCCATATTTTAAGAAGTCATTCTACGGTGAATTTTTGGTGAAAATAGCCATTTTTTGAAAATAAGCAAAAACCGTAAAATTTTCAAAAATAAGGAAACTTTTAAAACTTATTATTTTTCTAAAATTCGGAACCTAGTGTTTTCTGATCCTCCATCGAGAACTGGGTATAAAAAGCTGAAGTTAAAAATTTTCAAGTTGAAACTGACTGTCCAAATCAAAATGCTTTAGAAATCTGTTTAACAACTTTACCAGTCGATCATCAATGTCGAGGAATAATCTATAATAACATAGGAAAATATTACGCTAATATTGGCGATTATTTGAATGCCCTCGTTTATTACAGGAAAGGACTTCAAGTTAGAGTACATTTATCAGCTAAACATGAGGATGTATCTCAATCATATCACAATTTAGGTGTAGTTTATTTTAAACAAGACGAAACTCAATTAGCATTAAAATATCTCACAGAAACTCTTGTGCTTCGTGTACAAAATGCATCTCTGAATCATCATTTAATAACTGAAACATGTCAGAGAATCGGAAAGATTCTTCACTCAGACGGTGATTACGAAAAACCATTGGAAAATTTTCAAAAAACGATAAAACTCAAATTGATATCACCACAAACAGCATACAGTCAAAATGACGTTACAACACTTTTAAATTTTCTCGAAGAAGAAACACGACTTGCCCCGTATCGAAGAGAAAAACCAAAAAACGTTTAATATAACGCATTTCACTCACACACGTGAGAAAACAAAAATTACAAGCTCGAAATTTTTGTTTTCTAGATTTAAAGAAATTTTCTATATTATATTTCTATGATATTATAATCCTACTTTTTTATATTATATACTATGATACGCAATGTTGAAGATATTGATGATGATGATTAGGGGTGAACCGTTACCGCCGTTACTCTGGCAACGGTTTTGCGTTACCGTTACTAGCAAAAGGTAACGATTTAAGCGTTACCGTTACTGTAACAGTTAACGGTTAAACAAAATAAATAACTTTCAAGTTTGCTTAATATGAATTTTGACTTAAAATGTTAATCACGAGTTGCATTATTCTTATATAATGGAACACGAGATCTTGTTATTGATCAATTAAAAGATGCGCTGAGAATATGTATTATTACTAATAACCGGATTGTAATCAACCGTATATAACAGTGACAAGTCATTTAATTACCTCAGATTATGAATTAAAAACTTTTGTATTGCAAATAACTCAATTTAGTGGTAATCATACGGCCGATCGCATAATACAAGCTCATCAAGATATATGTATTGAATGGGGTGTATTAGATAAAATCGTATGTTTAGTATCGGATAATTATAGTCCTACGAAAAAAGTAGAAAGAGATTTCGAGAAAGATTGATTTGGTTACTCGGATCATATTATTAATTTGTGTGTAGTTGATGCATATGAATTAGATGATGTAAAAGAAGCATTAGTAACTGCTAGAAAATTAGTTTTATTAGTCAAAAATAGTCATTTAGCTAAAGAAACTTTGAATCATTTTTAAAAATTATTTAATATGAAAGGACGTCAATTAATTTATGATGTTGTAACACGTTGGAATAGCACGTGTTATACGACAGAAAGATTAATCGAAGAAAAAGACCCTATAACATCATGTCTTCAAGAAAAAGAATTTTAAAAAAAACTAATTAAAGCTAATGTACCAACAAGCATTGAATGGGATTTGCCAGTGCAGCTAAAGGTAAAAGTTAGAAGTACTTGATAGTAGAGCTTCTTATAAATGAATGCTGGTTTTTCTCTTATTTAGAGTACGTTAAAATCATTTGAAACAGCTACACGTCAATTAGCACTAGCATCTTTACCAACGATTTCCAAAGTATTACCAGTTGTTACTGGTTTATTCACCAGTTTAGAACCATTATCATTTGACCCGCAAACTGTTCAAAAATTAAAAGATGCATTGAGAAGTGCTTAAAATCACGTTTTTCACATATACATAAACAGAAATGTACATTATTAGGTACATCATTGGATCCAAGACATAAAAATTTTACATTTTAACACCATCTTATTATGATAAACATGTGATTACGAAACAAACCTTAGACGGACTTAGCACATTTAACTGTAAAGTTGAAGTATATTCACTTTTGTTAAAAGAGTATAATGAACATGCACCTCCAACGTCATTTTCATCTATATATCTCAACCTCTCACGCAAACAAAAGAAATTGATCTAGACGATTTTATTTTTGGTTTTCAATCACCAACTAGTAATTCATCCCATACTGAGTTTGATTTATACAAAAAAGAACAAGAACTAGATTTGGTAGAAATCCATTAAATTGGTGGAAATCTGATTCTAAAAAATATCCAGTAATATCAAAATAGCTTTGGAATATTTATGATACAAGGTGCAAGTGTACCGTCAGAAAGAATGTTTTTAGGACATATAACTAGTGACAGAAGATCGAGATTAACACCGGATAATGCTGACACACTATTGTTTCTAAATAAAAATATGAGTTGAGTTTAAATTAATTCTCTAGTGTACATTCTCTTTTTACTCTGTTTTTGTTGCTTAATAAAGTTTTAGTATATTATTTGTAACACTCTAGATTAAAACTCAAAGCAGGCTAATTTGCTATATTCAGTTTTATTATCTACTATTCTTCCCTTCTTATTGCCTCTTACGTTTCTTCGTTTAACATATATAAGAGAAAACAAATGTTACGTACGTTTGAGTTCTTTTTCTCTTTCTTTTCTGACGTATATTCATATATTCATTATTCGAATATTCTTTACTCGTTATAAATAAAACATAGTTTGCTGTAGTGAATAACGAATATTGTTTCGTTCCGTTCTTTTGACGCTTACGTATTACGGCCCATCTCTACTTATGACTAGTAAGCACGATATTGCCTAGTCATAACTCGTTAGACTCGTGATCATAAGGTCCCCAGGTCGAATCTAGGACAAAACAAAGAAAAATGCTCCCGAACGCGTTCCTTGAGACTGAGACTGCGTTCCACTACTCGAAGAACGTGTTACTTGAGAAAGGAGATCGAGCTAGGAGAACAACGCGTTCAGAGACGAGACAAATTGAGAAAGAGTTGGAAGAGCGCGACAGTAAAGTGTTTTTGCTATCAGTTAACAGGAATGCGTTCTTTTCAACCAAAAATACTTCCTAAAGACGCTTTTAGCGTTCTTTTGGAACGCGTTTTTGTTTCCTAAGAACGCTTTTTTTCTGAACGTGTTCCTGGTAGAGAGGACACGCCCTATTCTTTCTAATCTAATTTGTATCTCTGTTCAGATTTATTCCGAATATTTTTTTAGTTTATCTTATATTCTAGCACGTCTTCATTAGTTCCTCTGAAATTAATTGTTATGACAGTACAACAGTCTAACCTTTCTTCTCTACTTAGCTTCCGGTACAAAACACTGTTTCTGTAATTACATGTGACTTCAGTCAACAACTAGAAGTTGTTTCAGCTTGAGTCAAGACAAAAGGAAGAGGAAAAAAGAAAAGAGTAAAAGGTAAGCTATACTGATAGTACTTTTATTTGAACTGTTACGAATATTATTTGAAGAAATGTTTGACTCACCATAATAAAAAACAGTATGTACACATTTATCAAACTAAATGGTCAATTTTACAGTTATAAATGTGAATAAAATGTTTCTATTCTAAGGAGAAAGTTCGTTTTCAACCTATGCCACGATCATCCAAGAAGTAAAAAAGTTGTTTTTGAATGTTTTGTGGAACACTGGAAGAAATATATTGCGACAAACTTGGACCGGCCTTTAGACTCCTGCAGGGCAGCCCCGAATCCCATCCCGTCTGTCCCGTCCCGTGGGACAGACGGGGTCGGGACAAAAAAAACTTATGGGCTTGGGGCAAGAAAATAATTTCACGGGCTCGGGCTTACAGGGTCGGGACAAGTTGCAGAAAAATGTTGTCCCGTAAGTTTTGTCTTTTGATTGTAATTATACTGCAACTTCAAATATTAATTCTGGTAATATCGGGTGACCCAGAATAAATGGCCCTCCTCATATTTTGCTTATAATTTTTTTTCTTTTCAATCCTTAGACCTGGTCGTTCATCCAACAGATGCGCCGTCAAATTCTCTACAAAACTTGATCAAACTTATTTCTATAAAAAGTTGCGGAGAAAAATGAAACGAAAAACGTTCAACGTGACGAAAGGACCAACTTTCTAAGCTATTTTGTTTTACAAATTTTGGAATATTTTAAACAAGACTAAAGGCAATGAAACAAAACCGAAGATATTTTTGAGTACTTTAAAGTACGCTCTTTCTCCTTATGCAGTTCACAGTTCGTTCAAATCTAAGTTAGCACTGAAAAATTTGACATTCCAAAATTCACCTCAAGATGACCAAAATCTGCTATTGCTCGGCAGGTGAATTTATGAAAAAAGCTTTAAGGTAACTTTCGCAGCTGAATCTGGCACAAGTATCATTTCTCATCAAAATAAAAATAGACCGAGCTAGAAAGGTGCTATTTTGATGCAAGATTGATTTTGCATTGTGCATCTAATACTGGTTGATAGAGCTTTTCAATGGCTACAAAATGCGTGTATTCTCTTCTTTTCATCATCCAACTCAATGAAAGTGGTGGAACAAAATGTTATTTCATTGGTCCTTTTCATCGTATTGAGTATTCTTCATTTCATTTTCCCCGTTAACTTGTTATAAAAATAAGTCTGATCAAGTCTTGTGGAGAATTCGACGGCGCATCTTTTGGAAAAACGATCAGGTCTAAGGATTGAAAAGAAAAGAAATTATATGCAAAATACGAGGAGGGCCATTTGTTCTGGGCCAACCAACACTACCACGTGAAAACCGTAATTTTACAATAACTAATAAAAATTAACCTGGAGAGGCGAAATAATGCGGATTTAAACTTGAGAAGATGTTCCATATCTAAAACTAGGTTTAACGTTCTTTCCTTTGGATTCCGAGCTAGTGAGTGGATGTAAAGCATTCATTTATACTGCAACTTTTAAGTTTTGACCCAAATAAAATAGGCTTGAATTTTGTCATGCGGATTTTTGCAAAACTGAGTTTGAGACTTTAAGCGTCTCTTGTAATAGTTCCGGTTTATCACAGCAGAAAAACTTTTTCAAAAAATTACGGGACAAACGGGATGTGGCAAAAAAGCCCATAAATTTTTTTCACGGGGCAACAGAAAAGTTTGTCACGCAGGACTCTATCGGCCTTTGTCACTCGATAAATTATGGTTTATCGTCGTCTCCCATTTGGAACAAGTCCCGAAAGGTTATCTACCAAAATTATGCATCGATCACTTGTATAATTCTTTTTCCCTGCGTAGCCTAGTGCAGGTGCAAAATAACATTTATAATGATTTCAAAGGACGGAACTCGATAAGAAGCAAAAGCGATCTTCTTATAGATCAATCTTATATTAACCGACATGATGTAGTTTTTGTGTGTCCGCGGTTAACCTTAACCTATTTTGAGATAGTAAAAATTATTTTCAGTGCCTCGTGGAAAAATTTTCGCTAACAAAACCTTTCTCTCGTTAAACGAACTTTACTCAGAGTATTTTCATTATTTTATCTGTTTCGCTTAGAGTAATCCTTAACTATCATATATCGTTGGATAGAGAATTTCACGGGCTACGAAATGAGCTATACCACATTATTTTAGAAGTTTGTCTTCGCTTTTATACTGAGTACTATTAGTATGTGCTTTAGTTATAAACTCTATAACCAGTTACACATTTCACTGCTCCTGATGATCATCTCATACTCATCAGTAACCTATGACTCAAAATAAACTGTTCTTTTCAACTTGTCAAAAGTCAAACAAATTGATGCACATGATTGCATTCATGTTCTCTACCATATGAGAATAACGAAAACTGTGTTTAATCTTTTCACGTTTTGCATTTGAATTTTCAAGAGTCAGATCTCAAAGTCTTGAGCCCAGCTTTCACTTGCATATTTGGAATTAGTATCATTGATTGTACATATCTATGTCTTTTATGGAAAAAGCCACATGAAACATATAGCGTATTTTACTCGTTAGTGGAATGCTGCAGTCTTGGGTAGAAGTGCTGAACTCAACAGTGCACTTATCATAGTTGATTGCATCTTCTGACCAACAGTATAGATACCATTGAGAAAGAGTTTTAGAACCTTTGGTTTCAGATGTATTGTATTATTTTAAAGTGTGGGAAAATATAACGAATGGGAATCATTTGCTCACGTTGCCAAAACGATGTATATGCAAGAACAAAATCTGCTATTGATATCAAAATACTTTTCGATGCAGCAGATCGTCGTGGCTCATCAAAGAACGTTCGTCGCCTAGTTCAAAAGGCTATCAGAAAACAACAACTAGAAACCGACATAGCCGATGTTAATTTTCTCGATTTGATTTCATCTTTATGTGTCGATAAAAATAACTACGATGCTTTGCTTTGTTGTTTTGATTTGAACATCGATCCAAATAAGAGAATAAATGCTATTGGTGAAACATTGCTACACAAAGCTGTACAAGTCGATAATATTGACCTACGAATAATTGACTTAATTTTAAAACAAAACACCGATGTTAATATTGACAATATACAAAACGAAACACCACTGATTACTCTCTTTAACACAGCGAACAAAACGAACATCAATAATAAAACTGAAATTGTGCGACGTCTAATTAACAGTGGTGCTGATATTAACAAACAAGATAATCTACAAAATACCCCATTGACTGAACTAATAAAAATGTCTCAAGCAGGATTCACAATTGATCAAATGGCTTATGTTATTCAGATGTATTTGGATGCTGGTGCAGGTCAAACATTGAATAACAGAAATATGTTCGGTCACACACCACTTCATTTGGCATGTCAATATTTTTCAATATTTTATGATGAACGACAAACAAACGACGATGATTATCAACCATTTAAAAAACTTTTTTCCATTCTTTTGACTAATGGATCCGATCCAAACATAACTGATTATACTGGCAGAACAGCATTACACTTGTCTGTCACAAATATCGATAATAATTGTATTGTCAAACTACTCAAACAAGCTGGCGCTAATATGAATGCAGAAAACAAACTTCTTCATACACCGTTGTACTCCTATTGCGTCGAATTAGCTAACAGATATAATCTAAACGAAGATCAAACAAAAATTGTTTCATTTTTAAATATTTTACTAAATAGTGGATGTGAAGTGAATGCAACAGCTATCGATAAAACAACAGTACTTCATTTTGCTGCCGCGAAACTTAGTTTTATTATATGTGATACACTTATTCGGTTTAGTAATGGAAATATTCATGTTCGAGACTATTTAGATCGAACACCACTGCATTTAGCTGCAAGGAACCTATTAGTCGATGTATCCAGATTATTCATCGATTATGGCATTGATGTCAACAGTGCTGATGTCTATGGTTATACACCTCTCCATCATGCAGTCATGTTCGAAAATATACCAGTTATCAAGCTTCTTTCGAAATATTCAGGAAGGACATTAGCAAAACACAAGGATATTTTAATCCATTATCTCTCTCCGCTCCCTTACTCGTTTATATCGAACGAGCTAATTCGTATATTCAGAATTTGGCTCCGAATCTGCGGCACTACTAAGAAATCCCCCCATTGGGGTTATACACCGCCTCTCATTCGAAAAATCGAGTTTTTATTTCAACGAATTATACATTTTTCGAGATTTCCTTTTTAATACTGCTTCAAAAAGCTGCTACCTTCGGCCGCATGGATTTCTGAAACAAATACTGAATTGATAGTTCTAATAGAACCATTTTGTCATCAAAACCTACTGATTTTAGCAAGCGAAAAGAAATTTTTGCTGCGCGGCACTTCAAGCAGTCATACATAGAAACAGCGACGACAAACGGTTTTTACACTTGTGGTAGAAAAAATTTTTACTCCGCCCTGCCCATCGTTAGGCGATCTTTCATTATGCATACATCTGTTAAAATTTTTCAGGACACTTACACTCCCAATCCTAGACCCTTCGTACGGTCCCTGGTTCAATCAACAACTGTTCATCCCGGAAGAAAGATGCACGGTGTACAAAATCAGAAATAAGCCAGATAAGTGGTATTTCTGACTTTTCACCTTTTACCGTGAAGATTGATTTGTATAAAGGTGCGGCCAGCGGATCAAATCTAGAAAACTAAATTTATCATACTCTTGTTGCTAAATCAATTTTCGTACGCTCTTTTCTTCACGTGAAAGGTCACAAATATCACTTAATTGGCTTATTTCTGACTTTGTACACCGTGCATCTTTCGATTGATTGCACTGGAATTGTGGATCAACAGTTGTTGATTGAACAACAGATGCTTCCTTCATACTCTCTCAAATCTTTTTTTAAGAACTGGTGAAACAGTTTCGGTTAATCAGTTAAAAACCGAAATCGGTACACTTGTTCTATCTCTCTCCTTCCCAGCAGTACTTTTTCTGTATCCCCAACTCCACTTCTCTGATGCCGGACGCGATTTTCGTATGTGATCTTTGTGACTATGAAGCCGATATTAACGCACAAGGAAACTCGTTTATTACTCCTGCCCATTTCGCTGCCGAATGTGATAATGTTGAGATAATTAATATATTTTTTAGCAGAAAAGGGAATTTAAATGTGAGAGATGAATGGAATGCATGTCCACTGCATTATGCTGCATGTGAAGGAAATTTAGAAACAATAAAGAGGCTTTTGGAAGCCGGCGCCGATAAGAGTTTATGTGATCGAGATGGAAAAAACGCCTTTTCTCATGCTATGATTATGGGCAATAAAAAAGCAGCACTACTTTTGGCAACTAATAAAATGGAAACTGAACTTATTGATCGAAGAATTTTTCCTACAGATATCTTCCTACAACCAATAAATACTGAAATAGCACAATATTTTTTTACGATGAAAGAACAATTAAAAACTATTGGAAATGCCGATGAAGTTACTCGATCCATATTAGAGACACCCGGTATTGGTCATGTTGATTTATCAAACGGTGAATGTAATGAAATATTTATAGCCGTAGAAAAATATGTTCGAAACATTTTGAATCGAATAAGTCAGTTAGATGATAGATTCGATTCAATGATTGTAGCAGCAGGCAGTACCCAAGAAAATGTTAAAGTTGGTTATCCTGATGAGTTCGATTTTATGTGTTCATTAACAAAATTTAAACTATTAATCGACTTCTTAGAATATGATGATAAAAATCAAGGTTTCGTAAAGGCTAAACTGCTCGATGAATGCCTACCGGACATTTCTGACGAATTTAAATCAGATACATCATATTTAAATTCGTCGAATGTTTTACGCTCTTTTAAACGTTTAGCTATTAGAGCATCGTACGATATAGCAGCTTTCACTGATCCTCGACTATCAACAGGATTAGTATTATCCCATCAACTTGAAAACGCATTCGATGATACATTACCTTTAAGTGATTTACCAACCCATGGTTTAACATGGCGAGGGAAAGTCTATAAATATTTACCAATATCGATTGATTTAACACCAGCTATCTTTCTCCATGCATATCCACCTCAAGCAAAGAATGTCAGTATTCTGTTAGACAACCTAATGTCCAATCAAGGTGTCTACATCATCCCAAAAGAAAGTAAACGACCGATTGAAGAGTTTATACCGCTTAAAAAAATAAAATATGAACAGAAGACAATGGTATGGCGTTTGTCGTTTTCACATATTGAGCAAACAATTTTCTCTCAAATAAATGAAAATTGGAAGAATGGCTATCGTTTAGCTAAATCGTTTCGTTTATCACCATTATCGTGCAAGTTACGTTTATTGGTTCCGCCGGAAATAGTTGAGGTCAGTCATTATAAACGAGTAAAAACTATGAATGATTCAACTACATCTCTTAATACAATCGATTCTGAAATAATTCAAAATACAATCGATATTTTCCAAGAAGATGAAATTGAATTTAATGGATTAAGCGCAATTCACAGTTACCATTTGAAAAATATATTTCTCTCTTACATCGATGAATGTCTTCGTCTTAATATAACGCACAGACCTTGCTGTCTAGCGAGAATATTGTACGAAAAATTAATTGAATGTGATAAACAAGGCTACTTATCATCTTATTTCATGCCCAAACAAAATTTATACTATTATAGCTTTTATCATAATTTGAAACTAAAGATCGAAAATGCTACGTTAATCTATTCTCAGTTTATTTTGGATACAATGAATGAATTAAATTTTTAATTTTTCTTTATCTTTTTTTATCCTTTTTCACAATGATCAAGTGTGAACTGTTGCTCGATGTTTAGAAAAGAGAATTCGTATAAAGGAAACTGAAACTGGTTAATGATCTAAGCGAGGAATTTTACACCAAGAGCGGTTCAACGGGTACGTCATGTAAACGTGTGACAAGCATCGATTTTCTTTTGACCAACGATTCTCATTCTCCATCTGAAAAGGCTTAACAAACCAAAACTATATGGTTATGCGAAATTCCCGTTTTAGACATATGAAAATATATTAAAAACAGTCGTGGAGAAAATCTATATTTAGGATAAAGGAAGTTTTCATTTGTGATCTACTTGACGTTTATTGTGGGTAGTGCTAATTGAAATGTATTTAGAACTAACTTTATGTACAGGGTGCCACTAAATAAACGGAACACCTACATCTATCTTGTTTTAAACGCTTTTTCTCTACAAATTTTTATTCAAAACCTAGCAAAACAACAGAAACAACAATAAATAAAAAGAAATAGAAAGATAGAAAATTTCGTTTCATATTTATACTAAAAAATAAAAATATAGTCAAATTTGTTGAGAAAAAGCGTTTAAAACAAGATAGATGTAGGTGTTCCGTTTATTTAGTGGCAGGGTGTATTTAGAAATGTATTTAGAAAAAAAATGACGCATGGGTTTTGAGAAACCGTCGTCAAAGTTGCTTATTTATCGTCCACATCCACATTTTCAAAGCCGACAATTCAATAATGAAAAAAAAATATAAAGCTCAAGCGTCTGTCATTAAACTGAATGAAAATTACGACACATTTTTTACTATGTTTCTTTACTTTTTCGATGTTCAACAGTTATAAAAATTCTATTTTTTTACGTATTTGCCGTCGCATCTACTCAAACGTTAAATAGAGTGACATCGGATGATTCTGATTACTACCACTACAACCTCATATTGTTTTAAGTATTTTTCAGCCGTTTTCCGTAGGATAAACATAAAAATGAACAGGTATGGAATTCAAATTCTTATGATTACATTTGAGCGAAGCGCATCACTTATAGTTACTCTGAATATTCAAGATAGATAAAAGTGTTTCAGTTCTGAACAAAGGTTCAAATTCATAAAATGACTCAGTTTTGAGTGGCGCTGTGCGAGGAAAGCCATTGTTCTGAAGTGGTGACCAACCGATGAGGAAGTGCGACTGGCGATCATAACTCACTTTCCAAATGATTCGGGTGCAATCTTCGAAAGCGGAAGCTTTGCAGACTTTCATTGATTCGAAGTGGTGTTGCATCGAGTCCAAATGAAATTGATCTCAGGAATTCGAGAAGGGCCGAGAGTGTCGAAGGAGAGGGAAGACTACCAGAAAAATTCAAACGAATGAATTCATACATTTGTCGTTCGCCCAAGAACTGAACTGAACTGAATTTTTATTTTTGCAAACACGTTTGTTGCAAAGAAAGGCTAGCTTATGCTAATGAAACACTAAAAATAGTGAAGGATGAAAAGAACACAAGAAATTGCTACACTTGATCAGAATAGCAATAATTATTTTGCGATTTAGTCAGATTGCTGACCATGCTGTCGACAAACGAGGACGAACAGGCTAACTGGTTTCTGTTCCAAGCCGCTCTCGAATTCCGGCAAAAACTGGCAAGTGCTTTTGTGTCAGCGAAGTGACACAAAATGTCGGACAAGAGAAGAACAGAGCCGACGGATCGGGTTGTTGCTTCATAGTGTTCAGCTTGACGAAGAGTCTAAGTCATATTGAAGGCCAGCTTTGGCTCTTCGCGTGCCATCGTTTTCGCAAAAGGCGAAAAGTGATTTGAAAAAAGAGATACTTTGTTGCCTGTACATTCAGTCAATAAGCTATTCAGAAAAGAAATTTGGACCGATCCTGTTCAGTGTATAAAGTCGATTTTGCGCTAATACTACAATTCTGTTATCTATTTTCTTTGCTAAGACGGTCACCTCCTGAACTACTGTATAAAACTGCAAAGCGAAGACATCGAACACTAGAAAATAGCATCTCGAATTAAAGATGAAGAGAATTCAACAGAAAGGATTTCGATTCTGTACACTTCCTTTTCTTACTCCAAAAATTGGGTCTTTGACTTAGTAGAATATTCCACAGAGTAAAGCGTTCACTCGTATTTCCAGAGTAAGACAATTACTCTCATTTTTAGAGTATAAAAGGCTTACTCTCAGTTTCGAAGTAGAAAATTTCGAATAAAAGAGAAAAAATTTTGCATAGCATACTCTCCTACTTGAACGGTTTCTAAGACAGTCGAATATCGATCATGTCTGAATTGAAATTCAAAAGATGATCTCTATACTTGAGATGACGAATGTTTTCTCAGTCAAGCTCTTATCACTCTAAAAAAAAATAGTCGTAGATTTATAAATTATCGAAAAGGGTTTATTGAGACCAATAAACCTTTTAAAAACGCATTTCATTTTTTTATTTCCAAAAAACTAAAAAGCCTTCGTGACAGATGGAAAATAAAAACTCCTTTTCAGTTTTTTGTGAAGTCTAAAAAACTGCAGAGTTTTTTAGCTGGTATTTTAGACTCCATAAAAAACTGAAAAGGATTTTTTATTTTGTATTTGTCACGAAGGCTTTCTAGTTTTTTGGAAATAAAAAACACAAATGCGTTTTTTGAAAGGTTTACTGGTCTCAGTAAACCCTTTTTGATGGTTTATTAATCTACGACTATTTTTTAGAGTGTACTGCTGATCAGAGCAACTGACATTTGTTTCCATACATCTTCCCAAGTTTCTTTATTGATGTCATAAATAAATATGCCTTTTATCAAATCTAAACTACAAATTATTAAATGAAAATAAATGTATACAAATATTGACAGAAATATTAGAGAAAATATGAATGACTGATGGCACGTATATCGAAACTTTGTGCTGACAATGTAGGTATATAATATCCTCTATTTGCGATGACTTCAACAAATTGCGGCGTGTAATAGAGAAATAAAATAGAAAGCAGTCTCGTTATTTTCGCTTAAGAAGCATACGAGTGACTTTGTTAACATCAACTACGAAGAAAGCCATCGTAGACACGAATGGCCACTAATAATGCCTATAACATCTTAGCAGAGAAATATGGCTGTAGTAATCCGGCCGAATTAAAGTCGGATATCTCTAATCCGCCTACTGTACCCGTCTATTCACCACTACCACCCATATATCAAACACAACCTCCGCCATCACTGTATTCACTACCATTAGCACCCATGATTCAGATTCTACCACTATATCAAGAAATGATGGTTACTTCCAACTTCATATCACCTCAAACGGTTCATATTCGCGATTATATGATCTGGTCAGTGATCGACATCATCTTGGGCAGATTATTTCTAGGTATTATTGCCGTGCTATTGTCAAGTCAAACGAGAAAATGAAAGCGAGATGGTGATGTTGAAGGAGCCAGAAGCATGTCAAAATCACTCTTGTTTGTAACATCATCTTCAGTTTGGTGCCCATTACTCTCGGGATTAGTGTAATCCTTAATTACCATCGTATCATGTCAGATCTGTAAGAAAACTGAAGTCGAATCATTATCATCATTTCAACAAATATACATTGTTGCTTATTTCTGCTTCATGTGGAGCGATCATTTCATAGAACGAAGCTCTACAGTATAACCATAAATTCATAGAATCGATTTATCCAATCAAAACTACACCATCATTGTTTCATATTTCCAGAGTAGCACACCGTCATTTTCATACTTTCACAGTATCACAGTATGACTTTCATATTTTCCATAGTTTCAAAGTATTACACATGAATTTCGTACTATCACTTTCATAATTTCATCGTTTGACATTTTCCCAGTGTCACAGTACAAATACGAGCATAGTAGTTCCATATTTTTCCCACGTAAGAACAAAAAGTGCAATGTTGAATTGTAACTCACTCTCACCCAGTCAGCCATAGTCGTTCCGAAACTGCAGGATTCCAAACTTTACTAAAAATGTAACGTGTTTAGTGAATGTCACATGTTAACACGCAAGAACGGCTAAGTCAATACAAACAACAGACAGAAGCATACGAGTAAAGCCTCTGTTTCCATGGCAACGTGCGCTTCCTGCTTGTTATTTTTCCCACACTCGCAGCTTCTTGCATGTTTGTGTCACAAATTCGCTAAACACGTAAAAGTTTTCGTAAATTTTGGAATCCAGCAGTTTTTGGACTGACTGGGCATGCTACCAGCCCCCTTTCTTCCTGATAGTCAATTATCATACTGTGAACTATGGAGCGATGCAAGTGATACTATGATACTATGAAACTCTGAAAACTAGGGTGCGATACTGTGGAAATATGAAAATATGTAGGTGTGGTGTTGGTATGATCAGTCGATGCTATGAATTCATGGTTATAATATAGACCTTCATTGTATCACTTGACAGCTATGTCTATGTATGAACTGTTTGAAAAATAAACTACTTCTCTGAATTATCTTATAAACAGGACATTGAAATCAAGCCGAAAATCAGCATCATTGCTGAATGTAGAACTAAAGCTTATGTATTCTTCGTCTCTCATAGATATGAACAGAATGACGACCTCTTGATGAGATCTTTTGATCGAGTTCCACAGACGCTACGAAATGAATCTATTTTGCTCCGAAAACGTACAATGAAGAATGTTTACGACTAAGACTACGACGTTGAATGTGCAATTGTGATGATTGAGACAAAGAAGATAGCGAAGAGTAACAGACACTGCTGAAGTCATTATAACAAAAAACGAGAGAAAAATATATATTAAGCAATAAGAACTTTTTTTAGAATTAGTCTTTCGATTCGATAAAATGTTGATATGCTCACAGTGGCTGACCTTGAGCAATGGCTGCATTCGAATATTATCAA